TTGTACTGAAAAAAAACATGAATATGCTGAGAAAAGGAGTAGTACTAAAGTATGATTAGGACATGCAGCATGGCAATATACTAGTCTAAAAGGAAAAGGCAAGGTTGAATTGTTTTTGGGTCATGGTTCATCTTTCCTTTGATGGATGAAGCTCTCATCAGGGTGAATAATAAGGGGTCTCACTTTGTCAAAATGTGACTGTGTCTTTGTCTTTTGCAGTCATGTTGAGCAATGAACAGACCAAACACTGGTAGTGGGATACTAGCATGATTAATTGGGATAATAAAAACAAATTCAAAAAGCATGTGCTGCATGCATAGACCTCAGCAATCATCAATAAAAAAAGCCCCCTTATCGTGCACCTATAGTCTTCAAACATTTATAAGTGGGGTACAGCTTAATTTGGTTGACCTCTTTTACTATCATTCATATGAGGTTTGAAATCTCCAGGCACTTAATGAATATTTGTGTAAACTCCCCTTTCTCAATCGCTTTAAAATAATAGTCTTGAAACTTTTAGAATAATAAATAAGTTACATCATGGAATTAATTTTCTAATGAAGACGAAAGAAAGAAAAAAAGAGATGTACAATCAATGAGATATGTAATGGGGTGCCTTAAGAAGTGGGTGGCCAACAATACTTTGTATCTATTGGATCATGTCATCCACATAAGACCACTGTTTATGTCTAAGTAGTGCTCTCAGGAGACCCAACATGGAAGAACAGCAAACCTGCAAGTTCCTAGCAGCCTCCTTCCTTGCATAGGAAGAAAGAAAGAAGCTTGTAGGTGATGGTTTGGCTCTTTTATTTCTTCTCATATTTATCTTTCTGGTAGGTACATGTAGCTGGCCATTAATCTTTAGTGCTCCAATATAAATTTTACCTAACTTGGAGTGCGAATTTTAGCTCCAAAGTTTCATCAGTTTGACAAATGAGGAACAAAGCAACCCCCATTAAAAGAGAATATGCTACTTTGAGATTCTTAAGATTCTTATTCATGTAGGCTGAGTTTCTATAAATTTTATCCCAACTTTTTTTATCTTCTGGGTTAATATTCCAAAAAGGGTTGTGAGACAAGCAAAGCCAGAATAATTCTATACCCGAAGTTCTGAACCAACACCTCTAATGCTGTCTTAGTTCTTGGCAAGTGTATATATATATGTAAATAACATATTCCTTGTGATCTGCCCAACCCATCCCAATGTTATCAGTCATGAATCATGATTATCACAATGGCTTTTGCCAGTCTTGGCCTACAGGTAAAGATATTCAAATTCTAATACCTTTGAATATCATATTGCTTTTGTTAGGGAGAAATACTACAACGTGATCGAAATCATCAACTGGCGTTATCAATTCAAGTGCTATAATATAATGGTTGATATTACCTAAAGTATAGCGAGGTGATTTTCCCACTTTCCTTTTATCCACTTACACTCCCTTTTGTTTTTTTATATCTTTTTAATTAATTTTTTCTTTTCTGTTCTTTTTCTTTCTTATTCCACCCTTACCGTACAATTCCCTTTAATAAGAAGACATGTACAATCACTTACTAATATTATGAAAGAATAAAAATATGTGACTATTATGCATACCTTGTTATCTGCATATCTAAGCTCCTAATGACAGTTTGGTTAGCAACATTCTTTAGTTCTTCTACCTGTAAACATGTTAGCCCAAAAAAATTATTATCTATTAACTACAACAAAGATAAATAGTACTCACATACTTGGTAAAAAAAACAAAGAATTTGGCATACAAATACTTACATTTCTATCAATTTCCAAAATTTATTTTTGTTTTTGTTTTATTTTATGTTAACTTTTCTTAATTTCAGTTATCAAAACCTTAATGTAGGGTAAGGGATATTGATTAAAAAGTATTAAAAACCAAAAAAGAGTGTAAGTGGAGAAAATGGGAGTGAGAAAATTAACTCCCGAGGTATATTATTAACAAATCGATATAAGTATTTTAACACGAGTAGATTAATAACACTACGTTGATAAACTTATTTTAAAATAAAGTCAGATCTTGAATTGTTACAAAATTAATGATAATGTTCTTGAATTTGGGCAATGACTTCTGGGCCAACTAACTGGCTAAAAGCCTTATTAAGAGCTACAAATTATCGCTATACGTCTTAACATCAAAGATCCACGGTGATGGTCAAGTACCCATTGAGAACCAAGTTCCCAAAAAGACAGAGCAAACGAAAGTACGGAGGGATGACATGAACAGAGTTGGTTTTTTTTTTATTCTTACATTGGGCACAAGCTGAACCAGCAAAATATAAATAAACAATGAGAAGCCATGAAGCACGGCCCGTATGAATGGGAGCAAAAAGATGAGCCATATGTGCCTGGAATTAGATGCAATATTTTAAGTCAAATTTAAATAAACAGACTTCTGACCCAGTAAAAAAAAGAAGGTATAATTAATGATTGCTGACCCCAAGTTAATTATCCATTCTTAACAACGTTCTGTGAGAAGTTTTTTTTAATTTATTTTAGAATTAAAAATAATAATGGGCATAAAAATAAGATCCATTGTCTGGTTTTTGTTTCGCTTCTGCGCTTGTGAGAAGTTTTTTTTAATTTATTTTAGAATTAAAAATAATAATGGGCATAAAAATAAGATCCATTGTCTGGTTTTTGTTTTAATTTCAATTTTTTAAATATGAAAATATGTGAATTTACCGTATTATCCTCGTTTAATTAATAATTTCAATTTCTAATGTTTGCATTAACCAATGACATTTTCTCGTATTTTGAATGTTTTACCATTCTCTGCCTTTTGCTTTATATATAGATTCTTAACAATGATTAATAAAAACAATAATAATAATCCAAAGTCTAAACGCAAAATCTAAAATTTAATGGGGAGAGGGATCTTGTTATTTTAAAGGGTTTAAATTCTTGGTGCAATTGGAAAAATAAATTATATGTATATATAAAAGTCAATATATTAATTATGTTATGTGGCAGAAAGTTATGAAAATGGATTTATTTATATAATTGAAACGTCGTTGTACTAATTTGCAGATGCAGGTACATTCTAGGGTTCTAGAATATAGAAGACAGCTAATTAACAATTTATTATACAAGACAGCTAATTAATTAGCTTGCTTAGCTGGGTAATTGGGATAGGTCAAAGAACTTTTATAAATTATTTATTTATTAAAAAAATTCTTTTATAAATTAATTTAGATCATGTACGTGGTACCCAACCTGAGGAAAATATTCAAAAATATTATGAGATGTTGGTTTAATCATGGGATGCCATCATTCTTGGATGCATATGATTTAAGGGGCAATTTTTATTGGACATGGGCTCTAAAATTGAATAACATAAAACAAAAAGATAACAGACGAATCTTTATTGAATTAAATTGTGAGAAATTGTTGAGGTTTTATTTGTTTAATTCAGCACTATATTGTAGTTGAATACCCTAAGCTGGCTTAATTTTGAACTCATTTACCTAAACATAGCCCATAAAATAGAACAGAGAAAATATATAGTTGGTCTGCCAAACTTTGGTGAGCACAAGGTTGACCAAGCCAAATCAACTTTGTCATGCACTGAAAATTCGGAAGTGTGCCTTTTTGTTTTTGGAGAGAAAAACGATAATTGTATTTATAAATTAAATATGAAAATTATAAATTACAAGAGCCAATATAAATGCTTATAAAGGGTTAATATAAAGATAGAAGCATAGTAATTAACCATGCAGAGTTAATGCAGATACATACAAGAGTGTGCCCTTGTTATGCTACTAAAATTAGGAACTTGTTTAGCTTTATTCTACGATGACCGAACTCATAAAATGCAATTATAAGGTAAAAAATTAAGTGTGACCGTCACACTGTTACGTAATGTTATTAATTCTCAATTAGAATATGTTATATCTTTTTTTGAACTTAGACTTTTTTAGTTAAAGTCTCAAGTTTGAGTTGAACTATATCGGATCATAAACTCAATCATGGAACGCGACCATTAGGTTCATTCCACAAAATTTGATCACACAATAATTTCTCAACTAATGCTCAACCTAAGGCTTTTGTAGCTGGACATTAAAGAAGAGACCTCATATCAGATCCATACCTGACAATTATTTTAGATCATTAGTGTGGCTCATGTTGTACTTGCAATTTAAATATTTTCCAATCATGATGTTTGTGCATGCTTAATTCTACTATAGCATGCTTTTTGTATTTGCTCAATGGTATGCACCTTTTGCTTTCAACGTGTGCAAATTATGCACTAAGTAAGCATGCATTCGTAGGTCAAATAAAAACAGTCTTGAGAGCATTTGGATGAAAATTTTATACACATTACTTATTTCCATCATTTATTGGAGAAAAAAAGACTAAGATTCGTTTTGAGTGATCCTGGACTTCTCCATATAATCACTTTAGGTGAGTTTTAAGTGATTTTATGAACATGCTTCTCCTTAAAATCACTTAAAGTGATTATATGAAGAAGCACATGGGAAGTACTTCTCCTCATAAGTAATTTTGGCTCCCAAACGAGCCTTTATTGTTTTATTTCTGTCTTTCATTTTCCTTGAATCAAAAAACATAAATATAAAATCACCTGATGTGTTCCTTAGGGCTTGATGATGATGTACGAAATTAAATAAACTTATTAATTCAAGACCACCGCAGCTGTAAAATCCTACAAATTAAAGTTGAAAATATCTTGGGCCAAAAAGTAAGTTGAAAACTTTAATAAACAAGACAATTGAAAGCTACGAGGTCCCGTGAGTGTTGATACCAGTCATCCTCATTCCTGTCACTGATGAAAAATTACTATTTTACTTCTCATAATCAACAAATTCATTTATATTCTAAAACTTTTTTCAAACAATTATTATTTAAAATAAATAAATAAGAAAAAAAAAACTCAAACTTGTATTGGTGCAAAACTGTAAAGCTTGAAGTTGAAAAAGGGGGACAATTGCATGCAACGAGAATGGCCCCTGTCTAAATCAGTCCCGAGACTTGAACTTTTGTGCATATATGAAACTGTCAACCTTCCGATGGGTTTGTTTACAAGTTTATAAATATAAAAAGGTAAAGAATACCAAATTCATTTTTATGGAAAACTGTACATTAAATAATATTCATAATCTTAAAGGCCCCTCAACCGCTATAAATTGAAGGCACCCATCTGAGATTGACAGAAGGAAGCAATTCAGAAATAGCTAGCAACTTACTTAGCTCAATAATGAACACCACCATGGATTCAAAGAAATCTAACAAGATCAGAGACATTGTCAGGCTTCAACAGATTCTCAAGAAGTGGAGAAAGATTGCTAACTCCTCCTCCTCATCATCAAAAGCAATCTCCACCAGCAACCACAACATGAGCAGCAGCAGCAGCAAGAGCATCAAGTTTCTGAAGAGGACACTTTCTCTGTCGGACAAAACCACCTCTTCCTCATTTGAGGCCTCAAGCAATGCTGCTGTCCCCAAAGGCTACCTTGCTGTTTGTGTTGGGGAGGAGCTCAGGAGATTTGTCATCCCAACTGACTACTTGGGCCGTCCTGCTTTTCACATTCTGCTGAGAGAAGCTGAGGAGGAATTTGGGTTTCACCAGACTGGGGTTCTGAGGATTCCATGTGAGGTTTCTGTGTTTGAAGATATTTTGAAGATGGTGGAGGAAGACAGGGACACATTGCTCTTCAATCTGCAAGAATGCAGGTTTAACAAAGATGATATGATGGGGTGCTGCTCATCATCAGAAGGCCAGCTTAACTTTTCTCACCACCCAGAAAGCCCAATGTGCAGATAGTTTTATTTATTTTTCATAATTTTCACTCCTGTAGATCTCTCCTTAGCTGAGACTGAGAGGGAGAAGAACTTTCAAGTTGAGTGTGTAAATTATCTTCTGATGCATTTTGTCAGGCATCCAATCCAACATCTTATTTTCTGAGGCATCTAAATCCAACATCTTATTTTCTGAGGCATCTAAATCCAACATTTTGATAACAGAACTGCATATACTGACAAGCCTAGATGCAAACCAACAATCTTATTCATGAGGCAAATGCTGATTTTGTAGGATCAAAGCAAAATGAGTTTTTTTAGGCATCCAATCCAAAGGGTTCATAGTCAATAATCAAAGATTTTGATATCAGAATTGCATATACTGATAATGCAGTAAACAACTAAACCAGTTTCATTGGTGAGTCAAGTGATGATGACTCGTTACTCATCCGACATATAAAGTCTTCACATGTCTGCAGAGCCAGTTGCAACCAAATAATAAAGTCTTCATAACATTGCACCAATCAACATTTGCAAAACTTCAAACCACAAACCATATTCCAGAAGTTCTCAACTAAACCACATGAAATAATAATTCAAAAGCTGGCCAAGGTTTGCAAGACATAATTCATCCATTGGACCTGAAAAGGTAACCAATGGAAAACCAACAATTTAAAAATATGAGATTACTTCATTCAAAAGAAAAAGTAGCCTTGGTCAACATTTCTCCTGATGGCACCCCCAATAAAAAAGTTTAACCATATCTGTCAGGACAGGTTCATGAGAGCTTTGAACATAAGACAGCTAGCTGTTGTAATCAGTACAAGTGAGTACCATTAACACCTCTAATGTTGTCCTATTCTGAGAGCCTATAGATTTTCAAAACCTTCATTCCATGAAACTTTGTTGTCAGCAAACCACTCGTCTGAGTCTGCCACCTCATAAACTAAGGCATATTGTATATACAATCTGCAAATATCGGTATCCTATGTCTTTGATGCAGAAAGTCAGAGACAAATGTCTAGTTTAAAGACTTTATGATGCAGAAAACAATATAATATTGCAGCCATTAGCACTTACATCAAGTAAACACCGAAAATCACATTGGCAGATTTTCACAGTTTCTCTTTGTTCATTCACATGCAACTTTCTTGTTTCAAACTTCAGGAAGCAAAACCATGTGTCAATCTTGAGTGACTATTACTAATCAACCATATGAATTGTAAAAAAATAAAGCAATTTGAAGTTTAAAAAATCCACAGTAAGATCCAGTAAAAAAGGCAGATCATCACATGATGTCTGTAATGAGTATGACCCTTTGGTCCAATTTGCAAGTAGCAAAAGCCTAAAATATTCACGTGAAATACGGCTTCAGTTTCACAATTCTTGGCAATAGAGGTCTAGTTTCATGAAAACCTGGTGCTAGAGTTGTAACTCTTAATCAATCTTGGCAATAGGTCTAGTTTCCTGAAAACCTGGTGCTAGAGTTGTAACTCTTAATCAATCTCTTACAAAACGATTATAAATCTAAACGCTAGGATTCCTTACAAAGTTCCAAACAAGTATGGAGATATATAGAAAAGTCAAAGAGAAACCTTATGAAATACAACGAACACCCATTTGACATCTGTGTATGGGAACATATCTTAATCAATCAGTGCATGGAGATATATAGAAAAAGTCAAAGAGAAACCTTATGAAATACAACGAACACCCATTTGACATCTGTGTATGGGAACATATCTTAATCAATCAGTGGCTAACACAAATTGTCAGTTTTGTGCAGCACCAGTAGTTATGTTCCTCAAAGATTATAGTCCTGGTTGCAACTTGAAAAAAGAAAATAGCCAGCCAATGGTACTTTGGATCAAGCTCATCAATACCAAATAAACCAAATTGATTGTCATTTTAATATCAGGCCTCTCAGTCAGAGTGGCTTCTCAAACTCAAGAAGTTGTAGAGAAAATTTTATATGCTAATAAGCACTTAATTATATGAATGTAATAACCAAAAGAAGCATTTTCAACCGTTTTCAGTCAGTTTGGTGTTCTTTGTGACAGCGCAAACTAAAACTCAAGCAATTTGTTTAAAACAAGCCAAAAGTTGAACATTGAAACAAACAAAAAGTTTTCCCCTTAAATATATTGTTCAGTCCTCTTAATATGTACATTATGGGTTAAATTCTTTTTATATTCATGAATTTTGGCATACATTGAAGATGAAATCTTGGCCCTTTTATATAAAAGGGACTGGGTAGTGCAGGGAGAATAGATTGAGGGGTTATTGTAAGGGATTATATTGAGGGGGTCCTTAATAACCGTTTGATTTAATGTAGAGTTATTATTGGATATAGCCCCTCATTATAGAAGCTCCCTTGTAGTGAGCCTCAATTGGGTTATTGTGGACTCAGGCCTACATTTCTAATTCTCAACATTCTGCAATCAAGAAAGATAGGCATTCAAGTATTTAACTTCTCAGTGGTTAATTGCAATTTACTCAAATTACAAGGATTAGAAAATTTATAAAAATGGTCTTGGCATTTTCACTTGTAATATTGCTTCCTCTCAAACAAATTACACATGAGCAAAAAAAAAAAAAAAAAACCTCAACAGTGAATATAAGCTGTTCAAAACAATGAAAACCATCTCCAAAAAATCAAAGTAGTTGTGGAGGAATCAATCAATCCCTCCTAACTCATATCATATTCATATGTATCAATAAGGAAGCAACCCAGATGAAATTAAAGGCTCAAAAAGACACCTCTTCACCATCATTGTAATTTGGGAATGTGACACATTTGAAAACTTTGCACTTAGAACACAAAACCTGACCAATCTGCAGCAAAAAATAGCAACCATGAAAAAATATCAAACCTTTCACTTAAATCTGTTCTGGGTTTCCATAAAAATTGAAACTTGCAAATGAAAAAGTACTGGGATTAGGGAGGAGAGCCTCAAACTTACAGCTCTGCAAGCTGGGCATCGACGGTAGATTCGATTGGTCTCAGATTTCACATTGGTTTTCTGGCCTTTGCAAAAATCACAGAGCAACCACCCTCTGCCATTGCAGGCCTCGCACAGAACTGCTACATCACCCTTGGAAAAAGCTGGACCAGAGTCAGTCAGATGACAAACAATTGAAAATGGTGAAGCTCAAAACGTCTCTACTGACGGCAGTAGTTCAGTACCTCTGGTTCTTGTCGTTGTTGTTGGATGGGTGCGCAGTGTGCAGGCTTGACCAAACGACGTGTTGTTGAGGGTGAGGGTGGCAAGATGCGTAAAGAACTGAGCTTCCAGGGGGCGAAAGTCATCATCGTCGCCATTAGGCTTGGTTGTGAGCTTCTAAAAAACAGAGCGGAGTGAAGTGTCGCTCTGCTTTTCTTCTCATTATCCGATAGCATGTCCTTCATTTGTGACGTGTCTTCCAAATTACAGAATTGCCACTGCTCCAATGCACAATTAATTTTTTTTTTCTTTTATACTATTTTTATAATTTTTTTTTATAAATAAAATTATTATTATTGATACTATTCAATTTCAAAAAAATTTAAATTTGTTATTGGTACTAAAATTTATTTGAGTTTTGGAATTGGAGATGATCTTAGTCCCCTCTCGTTTTTTATTTTACTAAGCCTCAATTTCTTAAATGAAAAGAGTTTTAGTATATATTGTTTTTTACAAAGCGATATTCTAAAATAGCTCTAAATGAAGGGAAATCGAACTCAGATACAAAGTGGCGGACGCACTAAATCAGCCAACGGGTGTGACAATGTTGTCATTTGCAAAAATATGGCCCACTAGGCCGATGAATTTGGGCCCCGCTAAGTAATATTTGGGCTAGCATCGGGCCATAAATTTGGGCCTTTCCGGATATTATGGGCGGGAAGTAATCTTATTAGAAAGAAATAGAAGGTTGAAGAAACCCCCAGAAAAAAAAAAACCACCCACCCACACTATTACAAGAATAAAATTGTTCTTTAAAAATCAATTCCCAAAAAGAGAAAGACTGGCGGTGTGAAGCCCGGCAAGCTCGCTAGGAAGACAAAGCGAGAGAGATTTTGATTTAGGGTTTCGGATCGCAAAGATGAAGCGCAAAGACTTTGATGAAGACGTAGACGACGCCTTCTACTTTCCTTCATCTAAATCCAGGAGACTGGTAAGCTCTCTGCGCTCTAAAATTTGTCTTTGTTTCAATTCATTTCAATCCTCAGCAAATTTAGGGTTTTTTTGCCGCGCTTTCCTCCGAACTTGGAGATATGATGAATTTCTGATACTTGTGTTTCTTCGCTCTTTAACATGTAATTTTCTGCATTTTTGTTGTGGAATTTCTAGGATGCTGACTTATTTGCAACTGTAAATGAAGACCCAAGAAGTGCAGCTCAGGTGTTTGAAGAAAGGCCATCTCAAGGCACCATTGTGATGCAAAGAGATGATTTGCGAAAGGACCCATTACCTTCGGGTGATGAGAAAGCAATTGTGCTCTATAACCCCGCGAACATGCCGCTGCTTCTCAAATCCCCCGACTCGCGGGATTTCTCTCTGATTGTGAGTTCAGATTTGATTCCGGGTTTAAGGGGTAAGAACCTGGATCTCTGTATTGTTGTTAATTGACCCGTGTTTTTGTTACTTAAGTTTAGGAAACTTAGATTAGATATGTTGATCATAGAGTCTAATTTCAAGTTGTTATTTCAGCTTTGAATGGTGTTGGAGTAGTAACACAGAACTTAGGTTTATTTTTCATGATTAAGGTGATTTTTAAATGCTTACTGCTGATCTATGTTCTGATTTTGTGTGTCATTGAAAACATGTTCTGGTTTGGTTCTGGCTCTAGAATGAATGCATACTTTGAGTACCCATTTGACCTTGCCTTTTACTAACCAATTTGTTTCTGGTAGATCATATCTATTCGTGGGGAAATTCAAGGTCGCCGAAACCGGCAGAGGATCGTGTGGTTGAAGAGGAAAACAAAGAAGTTTCAAATGGCTGTTTGGCTGTGGTTCCCTGGGTTGCATCAAAGTTCCCTCTAGCCTCAAGGGATCAGGCAGCGAATCAGTTGGAGCCCATGGAAGCTGAGGAAATTGAAATGATGGACACAGATGACAACGATTACAATGGCGGGGAAGCTACCGGGTTTGGCAGTATGATGGAAGGATCGGGTGGGTTACAGCACTGGCAGCAACAGCAGCACCATTGGTTGGAGCCAAAGCTCGTCCACAATAATTATACTCATGTCACCTAATAACTAGTTCAACCTCCCAGTTCTTTGCAGACTCACTGTAGTTTTATTTTATCAACCTGAACTTGATGAAATTTTCCACTTGGGGGAGTTTTCCAAAGTTATATTGTGTTCTTTGGAAACCCCCTTTAAGAATTCTCAAATAAATCACGGATTGTTTGTACTTCAATTCTGTGAATGTTCGTAAATGTCTGTCAAAACATAAACGTCTTCCATTTGGCCTGAAAACTCATCTAGGTGCATCGACTCAAGACATTATAATCCAAATTAAGATTCGAACCAAACCCACGATCAGTGATTATTTAGAAAAGAAGAAACCTCAAATGAAATCAATCGATTGTGAAAACAAAGTTAAAATGTACTGATGCTTACTAGACCAGCTTCAAAGAGAGAATCTCAGCAAGTCTGAAGAGCAAAAGAATTCGATTTACGAGCAGTTAAACGCCTCCCAAGCCATTGTGATCGCAAGGGGGCTGCCTGAATTACCACTCGATACACCAAAAACAAGTATGAAATAGAAACAAAAATATATATATATATCAACCTCAACAGAGAAACCCGCTAGAAGGAAAGAAAGCCACAGCGAATTTGGGTGAAAAGGTTGAGAGGTTGATTTAGGGAAGCTGCATTCATCTCGATGGCACTGTTTTCAATAAGCCAAAGAGCCAAACTCCAGCCCCATTCGCCTTCTCAACAATAAAAAAAAATACAAAGAGAAACAGAGGAAAAAATAATATATTGAAGAAACTCTGCAACCTCCAATTTTGCTCAGGCGTTCGGCGCAACTCTAACCCTAGGAACACGACTTCTGTAAACTTCCCTCGACAGACAAGTATATATAGGGAGGAGACGCGCCTAGCCCTCTGCCAAACGAAGCCCACCTGGAATTCTTTTTCTTCTTGTATGGGCCAGATTTGAATTCCAAGGACGTCCAATTCTGAATGGACTAGACCCATAACCGATGGGCTAACTCCAAATTCACGGGTGGCTTCTTTTATTTATTTTTGTTTATTTTTCATTTTAGTTTTATCAGCACTTATTGGTTAGTGTTTTTTTCTGTACGACCACTCATTGGTTAGTTTGGTGGCCGCATTTGGATTGGTTCGGAATTTGTCCTAGGCGACAAACCCAACTGATCTCATCTCATCGGTTTGGATTTTTTCTACGAATCGAAACTGATTGAACCGTATACCTAACCAATCCAAATCAATTTATCACTCGAGAGTTTGATTCCGTGTGTTTACACGCTTTTAACCACTCGAAATACAAGTACGTTGCAACAACATCCTATCTTGTAAGATTATAATCTGTGTGTTATCTTTTTATTTTTTCTCCTTGAGCAAGGATGCCTAACGAATATACTCAGTCATGGACGCTGCATTGAGATTCTTCTTCCCGGCAAATTGGACCTCAATTTGGAAAAATGATTGTAAAAAATAATATTCGGTAAAACCCACGATTCTGATTCCAAAACCCCACCAAAAAAGAAAAAGTTCGAAATAATTGAAGATCATATAATCCATTGCCCATACTTTTGGATAAATGTACGCCGTACGAGAAGAACATCCATTTTTAAATGACCACGTTAAGCTGACGTGGCACTCTGAATCGGCTGCAGCATGTAGCAGCAGCTGACTTCTGAGAGAGACAACAACAAGAGGATAAACTCGATGACTCAACTCACACAAACAAAACGGCAAAACCCCGCTCAGTTTGTAACAAATCGAAACGTCACCGTTCATCTCATCTCTTATTAGTAAACCTCCAGCACAAATCTGTTTGATATTTTGGTCAATTATAGTCCCTTCTTCTTCTATAATTGAGATTCTCTATCTTCCTCCTTGATCACAGCGATCATTGCTAGACAGAGAGAGAGATAATGAGGATTGACGAAGAGAGCGAAGGAGTTTCGGCGTCCAGGAACCACCTGGTGTTTGCTTACTATGTCACCGGCCATGGCTTCGGCCACGCCACTCGCGTCGTTGAGGTCAGCTCTCTCTGCTCTCTGATCACTGTTTTCTTCAAATTTCAATGTCGATTGTCCAATTGCTGATCTGCTCCGTCAATGCGGTGTTTTTTTTTTCTTCTTCTAAGCGTAGGTTGTGCGGCACCTGATTCTGGCCGGCCACGATGTGCACGTCGTAACCGGAGCGCCGGACTTCGTTTTCACGTCGGAGATAGAGTCGCCTCGGCTCTTCATTCGCAAGGTATCACTTCCACAATCTCACAAGTTGCATGTCTCTCAATGATAATAAGTATTATGCATCAATGATCAAAATGATAATTTTATAGAATTATTTTATGATTTGTGATATTTTAGCATTATATTAGTAATGTAGCAGTAGCAACTTTATTTACTTATTGAATTTTTGGATATTAGGTTCTTCTAGACTGTGGAGCTGTTCAGGCAGATGCTTTAACAGTCGATCGTCTTGCATCCTTGGCAAAGGTAATAGGAAGTGACATTTCCTCTTTTTTTTCTCTGTTTTGTTGATTTTTATTTTTTTATTTATCCTGGTGGAGAAGTAATGTTGCTGATTCTGTTATATTTGTTTAGTATTCGGAGACGGCTGTGGTGCCAAGGGCTTCTATTTTGAAAACAGAAGTTGAATGGCTAAACTCCATCAAGGCTGACCTAGTGGTACTTAAAATGTTTCTTCTGTTGTTTTGTTGATATGGGCTTGAGCTTGTCCAATGTAGTCCGTTAAGATTGAGTGGAAGGGAGCTTTGATTTGTGTTTACATAATTCCATAAAGATCCTTGCTCTGACAGTTTATTCTACTTGTACAAGAACAGGTCTCAGATGTTGTTCCTGTTGCGTGTCGTGCAGCAGCGGATGCTGGAATTCGCTCTGTTTGTGTCACTAACTTCAGGTATCTTGTTATCACTAGCATTCTTTTTTAGTCTTTTAGTTGTAAATGCATAACTTGAATCGTTCAAGTTATGACTTTTGATGATCTTGAGTTGTCCAACTCTTTCAAATTTGTGAAAACTCTCAGTGTTCTTCGTTTCTCTATGCAGTTGGGACTTCATCTATGCAGAATATGTGATGGCTGCTGGAAGTAATCATCGTTCAATCGTTTGGCAGGTGACCTTCCTGTGCTTTAGATTGAATTAATTACCATTAGATTTTATTCATTTGCCCATTGCAT